GGCGAAATTAAAAGACGCCCAAAATGAAATGTGCAACACGATGAAGAACTTTATACGAAATTCAGAGTGCGGTACATATATAGATTGTTTATGGCCGGTGAAGAAGAAAGAACGAAGACTTGAAGAAGCAGGTCAAGTTGAGCAACAAATCGGCACAGCACAAATTTGCCAAAAAATATTTTTAATTGTTTTTGTTTTGTCTGACAAAATGTTTTATTTCTTTATTTATTTATTTTCACGCATATTCTGATTATTTACTATATAAAATGTTTCATTTGAAACTTTTTCTAAAATATAAATAGATTCGTGTCTCGCGTCATGACTTGAATGCACAGTAAGACAGCGCCAACAATCGATGCATTTGCCATGATAAATCGACGCGATTGAAGTTTGTATGCGAACACTTTGCAATTGATTTTCAAAATTCAAAGATATTGCGATATTGCGATGCGATATATTCGGCGATTTGCACCGAGCACAATGAACCATCATCGATCGTTTAAATTCACGCCTGAAACAAGAAAACGCATCAATCGCCGCACATCGCTTTCGATTCGATATTAATTAACGTCATTATTCATTTTAGAATGTGCATTATGCTCGTGCTGCATTCAATTATTTTCGGTTACCTAATGCTAATCATTGGCGTTTTGATGCATTCGATTCATATCTTTAATTTTGAGCTTTATTTTAGGTTAGAGTTTAGTGCAATACTGAAAATATAAAGGATTGCATTTATTTTTATAAGTTTTTAATTAGAAAAATGCTAAAATTGCATTTTAGTGAATTATATTACCATAACTATGATAAAATTGATATATTAACTTTCAACCCTTATTTTATACACTTCAAATTATTTTTTAAGATAAAAACTATCTTATTATATTTTCCAATGTCAAATATAGGTCTACATAAAAATTTATCAAAATTGCTTTTATAGTTTGAGCCTGAAAGCGTAACAAACAAACATTTGCATTTATAACACAAGTCAGGATTACGAAAACCCTTAAGTGATGCTCATGGCAAAAACGCAGTTGCACATTAACGCAATACAAACTCAAGCGACGATGAATAATTTACCGGCGTTGGCAAAAATGGCGAAAATTAAATCAAAGACCGGCGGTGATTTATGCGATTTGCGTTGGCGAAGTGGAACAACACGAGCATCTTGCAAAGTGCATCACGACGCAATCGCAACGTACGTACAGATCGTACGTCATTCAAGACAGTCTTCAGAAGGATAAAAAATAGAAGAAAAATCACATTCACGAGTTGCATATTATTTTACCGAAGACGCAACCTTACCTTTATGAATGTTGATAATAACTGAACAAACAGAAGCGAATTGACATTACAGAAATGATTTACTTATTTATTTATGACTGACAGCGCAGTGGTTTGCAAATAATAGTCATTCGAACACAATAAAAATTATTGTTTGCCACAAGCATAAGATCATGGTCATTATATACATTATTATTTGAGTTTTTAGAATAAAAGAAAAAATATTTCAATAGATGGCGATACTAGGACGTATTTCGTGAATTTATGTAGATTAAACAAAGTTAGGAATGGAATTAAATGTAATTTCATTAAATTTAATTAATAGTGTGGTCTAGACACTGTAATTTTCTTGGTTTTAATGGTTTACGGTTTTTTTTACTGGAAATAAGAAAAAAAGGTCATAAAATGAAAAAAAAAAGTCGTAAAACTAATTTTATTCTGTTTTTTTTTTATTCATAGCAAGTTTCTTGTGTTCTAGGCGTGTGAAAAGTTTAATTTTTTATTTACTAGAAGACAAAATAACACTTTATACATGTTTACTTAACCTTAAAATGATTTTTTATTAATTTTGATATTATACTACAATTTATAAATGTTCAACATTTGTTATTTTCTGTTTATTTGTAGAAGAACAAACATTTGTTCGATTTCCCACGTTTCCGATACAAATTTCTGTGTGTACATAATTTCACCACCCACACGAAATAACCACATAGATAAATATTCGGCTGAGTGTGTGCGCAATTGACCGCACACCTGTTTTTTTCTTTTCTGTTCAGCACATGAAGAACATTTCTGATTCTCGCGTGGGTTTATCTGTTAGAATGAAAGAAAAAGAAAAAAAGTAATAAAGGAGGAAATGAAGCAATGAAACGAAGAAAAGCGGAAAAGGTGTCTTCATTGTCCTTGCCGGGAATGATATCTGTAAACCGCACGAAATGCGAAAAGCTTTCCGAGCTTCTTTTGTCGATTGCGAGGATTTATTACACAAACGCAGGCAGTTCCCACAGGAAACAGGATATCTTACAGTCATTTAGAACAAATTTAATGAATAAAAACTTGTTAGGTAATAAATTCAACAACAATTTTATAACATAAAACACAAATTACATTGCAGAGAATACAATTTGTTGATTTCATATTCCAAATTTAGATAACCCACATTGCAACGGCGATAATTTAAGATGGCGTCGGAATGTATTTCGTCATTTTCGCAAAAGAAAATTTATTTCATAATATAAACACTATGTTAACATATCTCTATGTTTTTTTTGTGAATTCTTGATACATCAATTGATCGCTTTAGGTAAAAATCGCAATCAACGTAATAAAACAAAATAAATCTATGATTATATGTGAACACGCGTGAGTGCATTGCCGTTGGTAGATTGGTCACATCCAATTTATTTATGTCTTTATGTCATTCATTCTGCGTGCATGGTGCATGTGATACTCCGGCTCGAATTAAAACGACAACACAACTTATTTCGGTGTGCAATCACTGAAATAATTGCAAACGTTGACATTTACGGAGATACTAAGTTATGGAATCACGTGTGCACTTCGATGACACGTTTATATAAGCTATAATAACGCCGAAATGTATGCAACTTTATTTTTTTACAATTGTAGTTTGGGTTGCCTATAAAGCAAAATAATCATGTTATAACATCAAATAGTAATGCGTAACATGAACTCAACACCTTTAAAGCATCTTAAATTAAATAATGTTCGAGTGAACCACTGAGCTACCAACTAATAACACCCAATTATTGCTCACATCGCGCGCTTAATTACAGCCAACGATAACACCTCGTATAAGCATCCTCAAAGCAAGTTAAATTTACGTCAACTCTTTCATAATACTCGTGTGCACGTGAAGATTTTTGGACTAGTTTAACACTTAAAACTCATTCAAATTAAAGCGAGTTTCAGCCAGTCATCTAGAATTTAACAACAAAAAATAAATGTTGTAACTTCCTCGCTCGCTTCACCTATGAATTAAACTTCATTATATCCAAATAAAGACATAAATTGTGTGCAATATCGTTCTGAATGGTATTCAACACTCGAACGCGCACAGAAAAAAAGTCTCAAAAAATTAATGCCAAGTTTAGTCAACTATAATTAAATCATTAGAACTTATAGCGTAATTAATAACTTTGCGATTATTACATGAATAGTTTTACGCACGAATCAACTACGTAAATGTAGAGTGTTTTAATAATTAATTTTATACATTTTATTTAAGAAAAATCGTGGAATTAACGATGAACACACTGTATATATGGTGTAGTTATTTGTGCTTGCATCTTTAAGCGTGAATTATGACGTAAATCCGGTCTCATTAATAACTAAAGTTAGGAATATTTAATATTTAATCCAGACTGATTAATGTGCGCGTTGATGACGCCATGTTTATGATGACAGCTCGCATTTATTTCGCTCTTAATTGCACAAAATCAAGAAAAGCGAAGAGAATTGTTTCGAATTATGAATAATCAACGAAATCATGCAAATGCGTGGCTTTTGTGTTTGTGAATTGTGAACTTTATTATTTACGAGGATTTAATATAAACATTGGGCCACGAATTAATTTCAAGAGAACAAACACTTTCGGAATGAATTCATTTATTTTTCGTTTGTGTTTTGCGACACAGACTGAGATTTTCATCATTTTCAACGTGTTTTTTTTTTGTTTTGTTTGAATTTTATGTGAGAATGTGAAAATACTAAAAACGTGAAGTGAAGAGACAGAATTTAAAGACATAGGAATGTTTGTAAAACATTACAAAATAACTTAAACAAATAAAATTAGTATTAATAGGAAGATTGAGTGTGAAAAATGAGTTGTAAAATGTTTATTTTTTATTTTAAGCAAAGAAACGTGTTTCCTTATTTATATTTCCAAACACAAAAATTTCAAGTAACGTAACATTGATATGAGCCACGATTACGTCTTCGATGTTCATTAACTAAACTAACTAAAAGTTAGGTAATTTAACACTCGCTTTATTTTTACTCTCACCGGGCACCGGCCTCAGTTATTGTCAGTTTTTCACTTCTTCGCTCGTCATTGTCAGAGGAGTCGTGCTTCGTGCATCTTTTGAGTTATCACCTCGCCGCCACCACTTGACCACATCTCGAAAATATTCCTCTTTTGAAGCGCTGCGGTGAAACAAGGCCGTTCACAGCATCATCATCATCATTATCATCAATCTGTCATTATCGCCATAGACGCACACCACTCCACGGACATCTAACTAAATAACTTATAACAAATTCTCAATTTGGAGGTAATGAAATCATCTTTTCAAAATTTCATAACACCCTGTATAATAGGTTACCTTCAAGTACAAGTATCTTGGGCAGCATGTGGCGTCTTGTCTTACGCTATGAATCTTCTTTCACTTTCACTCGAACTCGTCTGCTACCTTACCTCATCTCATCAGGTACCACATACATCAAAATAAATCTAAATAAATTTCTGGAAGATGTTTTGAAGGATAAAAGTATTACTGCACATGCTTTGTAATCTAAACTCAAGTGTAGTAGTAGTGTTGTTACCTCGGGTGGTTGCTGGTACGTCTCCACCACCTTCGCTTCTCCTACGCATCTCTTCTCCGCCGGAGAAGCGCAAGAGTGGTGCGAAAGCACACGCCACGCGCGGTATAAATGTCCACAAGCCCAAGTCGGCGAATCGCAGACGACACTCGTTCATCAATCACGAACGACTTGGTTTAACCAGCTTCTTCTTACCACTTTGTAAGCAGCGTATCGTCAAGTGGTGCGCACATTCAGGTCGTCGGGCCTAGCTTAACGCCAGAGTTACCAAACGTAGTTACCGAATAGTTTTAGTGATTGGCGTGGAAAAAGTGTGAGAAAATGAGATTATTTAAAGTTTTGGTGAGTTTCATATTTTATTTTCTTCACTAATTCAATTGTGTGAATAGCTAAAAATTAAATATTTAAAAATTGAATATTTCAAATGTTTGTTGGTGAATTGCTGCTTGTCTTTTGTTTTCCGAATGTTTACGTCGGCACAGCGTCAGTTATTATGTTAATTACGTTGATTCTTAATGTTTAACGACCAATTGTTCGTGTTTTGTGGTCTGTGGTTCTTCGCGCTCGTGGAAGATTTGCCGCGGCTGAATTTTCACTCTCGCTGGCGTAACGTAAGCTATTAGCCACGTTCGAGAACACTTTTCCTTGCATTTGTTTTATTATTTGTTACCTACGTGATTTTTTTCGTTTTCATTTACAAATCGGGATTTTTTATGCGATAAAACGTTTAAAATTCGTGTTGAAGTTGAAGTTTCTCAGCATTATTCACTTGAAATGGCAATGATGCAAGTTATATTTTATTTCTTATTTGGTTTGCAGGCTAGCACTGCTGTGCTATGCTGTTTCGTGCAATGCGGACTTGCTGGGGCGTTAGCTAAACGTGAAGGTTTGTAATATTATTAGTTTTAGTTTAGGTTTCTAGATTATTAGTTTGTGTTTGGTTGTGATAGCTCCATTGCCAGCTGGGTATCCATCTGGACGTCCACAGAATTCATACCTACCTCCAAATGCTGGTGGAGGAGGTGGAGGTGGAGGTGGTGCTCCACCAAGTCAGAATTATGGTGCGCCAAGCGGTGGATTTGGTGGTAGCGGTGGATTTGGAGGTGCTGCTCCTTCGCAGAGTTATGGTGCTCCAGCCCAAGGTGGAACTGGTGGTGGTTTTGGCGGCGGAGCTCCATCTCAGAGTTATGGTGCTCCTGCTCAAGGTGGATTCGGTGGTGGTAATACAGGTTTCGGCGGCGGTGCTCCATCTCAATCGTATGGAGCTCCTCAACAGCAGCCTTCTTCTAATTATGGTGCTCCAGCCCAAACTCCATCTAGTAACTATGGTGCCCCAGCTCAGACACCTTCGTCCAACTATGGTGCTCCATCAACTGGTGGACAAGGTGGTTTTGGTGGTGGACAAGGAGGTTATTCCGGTGGTCGTCCATCTCAATCTTACGGTGCACCCGCACAGCAACCATCTGGAAACTACGGTGCCCCTGCACAAACCCCAAGCAGTAACTACGGTGCCCCGGCTCAAGGTAGTCAGAGTGGATATTCTGGTGGACGTGGTAATGGTGGTGGATTTGGTGGTGCTGCTCCATCTCAAAGCTATGGTGCTCCTTCTACTGGAGGTTTTGGGGGTAATGGTGGTTCTCGCCCTGGTGGAAATTATCTTCCTCCTTCGACTAGCTATGGTACCCCAGCTGCTCCGGTTAGACCACCACCACCAGCACAACGCCCGGCTCAAAACTACGGCGCTCCTGCACAACAACCGTCAGGTAACTACGGTGCTCCCGCTCAAACTCCATCAGGAAGTTACGGTGCTCCATCTCAGGGAGCCCAACGTCCATCCCAATCGTACGGTGCCCCAAGCCAGGGTGGAAATGGTGGATTCGGAGGCAGGCCCAGCCAGTCCTACGGTGCTCCATCCAACGGAGGCGGACAACGCCCAAGCCAATCATACGGAGCTCCTTCTAATGGAGGTGGTCAACGCCCGTCTCAATCATACGGTGCCCCAGCCCAGGGTGGTGGATTTGGTGGTGGTGCCCCATCTCAAAGCTATGGTGCCCCAGCTCAGACTCCTTCAAGCAGCTACGGTGCCCCTCAAGGTGGTTCAACTGCTGTAGCTCCACGACCAAGCCAGTCTTATGGTGCCCCCAGCGGTCCAGCTCAGCGCCCATCGCAGCAATATGGTGCTCCCTCTCAAGGTGGAGTTGGTGGTGGTAATGGCGGCAGCGGAGGTTATTCCGGCGGTGCACCTTCTCAGTCTTACGGCGCTCCATCCGCTCCAGCTCAACGCCCTAACCAACAATATGGCGCTCCAGCTCAACGACCATCACAATCATACGGAGCACCATCAGCTGGTGGTAATGGCGGTGGATACTCTCAACAACGTCCAAGCGCTCCTGCCCCACGCCCATCTCAGCAATATGGTGCTCCATCCCAGGGAGGTAGCGGTGGTGGATACTCCCAAGGTGGTGCCGGTGGTTATTCCCAGGGTGGATCTAACGGTTACTCTTCCGGCCCAGCCCAGCGTCCATCACAACAATATGGCGCGCCATCTGGTGGACAGGGTGGTTTCGGAGGTGCGGCACCTTCTCAGTCTTACGGAGCGCCTAGTCAATCATACGGTGCGCCATCAGCGGGTGGTAGCGGAGGTAGCGGCGGTGGTTTCGGTGGTGCCCCATCTCAAAGCTACGGCGCACCTGCGCAAGGCGGTCAACAGCAATATGCCAGCAATGGAGGATACTCCTACTAAATCTTGCTCACCATATCGCAGAAAAATCAAGAAACGATCGAAATACGGGAACGAAAGAAGAAAAATGTAAATATGTTCATAGCGCGTTACCATGGCAACCTACAAGTCGGTAATTCTATCAAAACGGATCTTTCATTTCTTATTTTATTGTAATTCTGCCACAACCCGCAGCGATACGATACAATTTATGCATAATGAATTATTTATTTATTTTGTACAATAAACGATGAATTTTAAAAAATACAAAAAAATATATCTATAAGTTTTTAATACGTAATATTAATATTGAAATAAAATAATATTTAAAACAAACACCACATCATTCAATACCCACTTAATATGTTTAAAGCTATTGATCAACAGATGGCGTCACAGGATCACATTCAGAAATAAAACACCAAATATGCTCTTCATATACAGTAGTCAACAGTCTATTTATTCATTTATATAATTACTATCTTTTTTATAGGTATATATATATATTTACTTTTTATATACTTTTTTAATATCATTTTTTCGTTTTCATACATATATTGGTATGTATGGTGTATATATGCGCAATGTAAATGATATGTATATGTTTGTATGTATATATCATCTGTTCATCTTTTCATATTAAACAAATAAACGCCTCATGTATATATATAGTTACATTATTTACATCAATTTGTTAATAATTATATGCTACGTTTGCTCAATGTTTCTCTATCTGCTCATTCGTGTTCATCGTCAATTTTTCATGTAACAATCAATAGCTCAACGTTTCTTGCGCCAATAAACTATTCCCTAACATAACACTGCTGCCATCTATGTTTTCATTTGTATGGTTAGTTTTTTTAATGATATGTATGTTGCATGATATGTTGTGCTTCAACAGTGAACGGAATTTGAATTTGCGTAAACAAACGTTGTGTTTTTAAGTTAAAAACAACATTTGCTTACGTTGAATTCATATGCAACTTGTTTAGCAGTTTATGTCTATGTGTAAATATGGTTGTGTGTTTTGCAAGGATCAACAGTGAGTGGAGTGGTTCTCATAACATTTACAATATAATTAATACGTATTACATGTACATTTTGCCCTAACTTATCATCTCTAACGCCTTAGAAATCTAAACCCATGAACGCTCAATAAAAAATATCCCCATCAACAGTGTGAAACTCAACGCTTGATAAATTAAACACAACAAACATAACCTGTGTTTGCGCGCAGCGCTGATTGAATGCGTTTATAATTGAGACTTTAAAGATTGCGTGCGTAGACGTTTCGTTATACCCGGTACTCATTGATTGCTATATCGGACGCCAGATGGCGTCACACGGAACAACTGATTGTATCATCCAAATGTGAATATGTGTGTTGTTTGAGTGTGCGTTCACAACTGAAATTGACTTGTTCCAACACCTATTAATGACATCGATATATGACACACTTAACACCTTGAGTCGTTAAGTTAGGTTAAGTAAGACATCGATAATAAATGTATATAAACTTCTTTCACGTTTTTCCTTTTTTTTGTAACAGCATTAAAATACGCCTAGCAACAACTAGATGGCGATAATCAACGAAATCTTCTCGCTGTTTACGCGTTTAAATATTTTGTTCCTTAAGAAGCACATTTATTATTTTGTTAATGCACGTAGAGTTTGAATTGAATTTATTTGCAGGACGAAAGCTGCTAATTGCTGCAATGAGGACCCCCACAGCTCAATTAAGTAACAATGAAAAATATCGATTAATAACAGTTTAATTAACTTTTTTGTATGATCACACTAATACTGCTCACTATAACGTTACTCATTTGTGTTGGTTATAACCTAACCACGTTCCCTGGCATTCATATTTTCAATGGTTTCCTTCTTTCCTTGTTTTAGTATCATTTATCTAAGTTATATACATTTAGACTAAGTAACTATTAACTAAGGGACACAAGGTTTGCTTCCGCCCTCGTCTGAATGAATCTCCACGTGGCATTGTTCGTATGAGTTATTGTAACACCATGTATCGAGTTGTCAACATTCATAAACAGTTAAATATATATATAATTATTAAAAATTGGGAGCAACAATGATATGTATCTTTTGTTCTTCTCATGGCTATGCACCAATTCACATTAATTGATATGTATAATGTTATTGTATCACCCAGTATATCTATATGTAGTTTATATAAATGATATGTCGAGAAGAGTCCAAAATTTCGCGCTTTGCAAATTTTTAAGATTCGTTGATGATTTGTCCGAAAATAAAATTCCGAGTTGCGATATACAGAGTGTTTCAAATTGATCGATTGTGTGAATTTGAGCTTGTTTTTTGTTGCTTACCCTGATCACTATCGATTTTTAATTCCTCATCGCCGGAGCACAAACAGAACGTAAATAACGAAATGTCAAGACTTCATATGATATTGATTTCATTAATAAATGAAGACTATCCGCCCGGCTGGGCCTTGACCTTTCTCCCAATGAAAGCGATATGTTTTGTTGGGTGAATTTGAAACACTCTGTATAAGTTACTCTTAAATTAAATTAGAGGCTTAATACTTTTAGTATCTTTAGTTACCAAATCAAAGGGTTGTCTGCGTGGCGCCTGGGTTGACCTGTCGACTACCGCCGACGCCGCCGCCGGTCTCGCTGCCGATTGCGCTGCGTAGTTTATCGACCTCACCGGCCGGGATGTCATCGTCCGCCTCCAATGCCGGATTGATACGTCCATTGCGTTCGTCCTTGCCGACCATTGTCGCAGCTCCGTACAACTTGCCCATTGCTCCTGAAGCCATTACCGACATTTGTTCCCCATCTTCCAGTTCATCCCCGACGCGTTGGACATCTTCAGGAATGTTGACCACGCAGCGGAAGAAGTCATATCCGGGCGCAAGACGCCCAGTCTCGAAGACCCACTTTGTCCACCAAGAGACCCCAACGAGGGTGCATAACGACATGCTCATTGCCATTGTACGGAAGGGGAACATCTGTCGTTGGCCCTCTTCGTCAAAACCAGGATAGCGGATGAATGGATCCAGACCCATTAAGGGTTCACCACCGCTAAGACGCACGAAGAATGCTACGATATAAGCAGCAAGGGAGCCGTATGTATTGCAGTGGTGCTTGAAGTGTACCACCATGAGCAGTTGCGGGAAGAGGATGACGTAGACTAGATCGGAACACATTGACCTAAATAAAAATTTAAAAATTTAAAAATCATCCAATGATAATCAAAAAAAGTTAAAGTCTTACCATAATCCATAAATGGAGGGGATAGTAAGTGCCATTACTGTTGCCAGGAAGCCTACCACCAAGATGGAAACCCGCATCACCCATATAATCTCCATCTCACTAGCACGTTGTCTAAAGATGAGCTTGTAGACATTACGCGCAAACATAGAACTCGCCGATAATACACTAGAATCAGCCGAGGACATAACCGCCGCTGATACTGCACCCAACCCGAAGAAGGAAACAAAGTCAGGTGTTAAATACTGCAGAACCATTGGTAGAATCATGCTGGTTTCATCTTGGGTCAATGGGTATGGACCTTTGTACGCTGTTTCATTCCAAGCTGTAACCCACACATCATTAAACCTCATGGTAAAACAAAATTTGATAGGGTTCCACTTACCAGTAGATTTGGCAATAGCTCCAATGAGCACAGGTGGAATGGCCATAAGAATGCAACCAAAGGCGGCAACGAAGCTTAAAACCTGCGCGGTATTAGCACTTCTACTAGAGAGCACACGTTGGAAGTACACCTGCCATGGAATACCACCAAAGACCAGCAACAAGGCGTAATCTATGTAGTAAAAGATCTCATCACCCTTCACGGACCCAATCCAATCAACGTCCATGCTACTAAGTGGTAGAACTTTATCATTCATCCACGCAAATGGAATACACATCCAGAGGCCGATGAAGATACAAAACAATTGAATAACGTCGGTGTACGCCACTGAATACAACCCGCCGAAGAGTGTATAGAAGACGGCAATGCACGCGCTGAAGATAACACTGGTGCGGTGGTCTATGTCAATGATGACGGAAAGTGTTGCTCCCAATGCGGCTAGGATACCAGCAGCCCAAAATACTTCTCCGCACAAAGCAGGTAAGAAGAGTAGACCACCCATACGTTCACCAAATGAGTCCTGGAGTGGGTCCAACATGGTTACATATCCCTGTTGACGCATTTTATTCGCAAAGAAGATACCGCCAAAGACCAGCGATAGAGAGTATCCAAATGGGGCCTGGCACCATACCAGACCCTGGGTGTAGATTGCTTCAGCTGTTCCGTTAATGTAACCACCTCCTACCCATGTAGCTGGAATTTAAAATTTGATCTACAGGGTACTGTTGTGATAGGTTATGTTTGTTTGAGAATTAGTTTAGTTTGTTTAGGCATTCTAATCAATAGTAATCATGTTTTTTTTGAATGCATCTGTAGAGTCATTGTGTACCTAAGTTTAGCCGTGGTTAGTTTTAAATAAGTTAAATGCTAAAGGCCAGTTTAGTTGTAGTAGGTAGGCACGTGTAGGTCGAGCCTAGGAAGGTAAACCCAGAACCTCATTCAGGTCATTCAGCCATCGAATCAATACGTTGCGCGATGGGCACGGAAACATGCGACGACCTTGCAAGTGAAAATTCTATAACCTATTTTTACTTAACGCGCGCAGACTTTGTCGCCATTTTATGCTTATACTGCTAAATTGGTTGCATACATTACAGAATGAATAAATACCTGTCATTGTGAAAATGCCGACAAAGAGACCAATGTTGCGACCAGCAAGCATCACCTCTTCTTCTGAATCGTTGCCTTCTTCCTTCTTGCGGCCTGCCCATATTCCCACGGCCAAAATAAGAATGTAAAACAAAATGATCGAAATGACACCCGCGACGTTAATCATTGTGCTTGGTGTGTTTGCGCGTTCCTCAAACTTTTTTTCTTCTTCTGCTCTCGTCTAGCACCGCTCGTTTTCTCGACTTTTGTGGTCGTTAAACTAATTAAACATTAATAGGACACATTGTGCATTATTTTCGAGTATTACGTAACACGCAATTCAATTCAATATTTTAGTTTAACTCGGCTAAACTTAATTAATGTTATAACAAATCTATTATTTTAAGTGTGTTTGCTAAACGGTTTTCTAAACTTTTCCTTTGGGTTATTGGGTTATTATTTATTTATATACTTGTGGTTGTGGATTCAAAGCACAATTTTTTAACGTTTACGGAGTCTAGTATTTGTTTTAGGTTTTAGGCTTTTCGCGTCCACTCTCAGCTGCTGGCTACAATTGTTTATTGTTTATAAAAGTTCGCTAGGTTTGCGTACGGTGTGCGCGTATAGTAGATATATGCTTCTATTAAAATATATTTGTATTTTAATTTGGTTTAACTTGTTAGGAGTTGCTTTTAGCTTCGTTACGTTGCGTTTTCTTCTTGTTCTTCGGCAGCAGTGCCCGACGGTGTGTATCGATCGTCCTCGCTCGCAAAACCAACCAAACCGAACGCGTTTGCAATTATTGTATCGCTTATTGTTACGTGTCGTCGAATCCGAGATCAAAGAATCCAAGATTTCAGCAAAGCGTCAATGGCGGCCGGTGTGGCGCGTTGAGATAACTATGGCCGCGCCGGCGTGATGTAACAGCAATCGCCCCAGCGTAGGGAGGTCTTCTGCGAGGGGCTATTTCGGGTTCTGAAGCCTAGCCCGCACATGGGCGCCTTTGCAAATGCATTCAAATCGCACTCACGAACTCACGCGCGCCTACCCACACACAAACGGAGTGGTAACGGTAACGGTTACCGAAAAATGGCACTCGAATCAAAATGGTACCGCGCTACGGTTTTGCACTCTCCGGTTGTTTCTGGCGGTATCTCCTGGTGGTCCTGGCGAGCGAGTTGAGGGGCCGCAGCGAAAAGCGAGCGCAAAAAAAGGGACGACGATACGGGCACCTCGCGCGCTCGACTTGAACTGCCCTGGCCCACTGTGACCGCGCGGCGCGCCGATTATTGATCCGGCGGTGGCGGCAGCGGCGGCGGCCGTATGACGTCAGCAGGGCCCGTGCCGTCATTGGCTGGTTGCGCCTGTCTGCCATGTTGGCGTGCGTCGGCGGTAGAGAGCGATGCGCAATCGGGCGGATCATATTGTTACCGCCTCCGGCTGAGTACCGCCTTTGCCACCCACACTCATTCTGCTGGCAGTCAGTCACTCGCCCACCAATTTTTTGGAGTAAAACCCAACGCGTGCAAAAACACCTTCCTAAAAATGTGTCTCAAAGTGCTACCGCGGCCACTGACGAAGGATTTAGCAAGCTGTGATGTCAGTAAAGGGACGGCCCAAAAGTCGAAGCTGGAATAAATGAATTGCAAAAGTTTTTCACAAAAAATAAAAAAACAACGTGGTTATTTAAAACACGCCCGCTTCAAAACCTTCAAAAGCAATAAAATGTCATAAGGATTTCATCAATCAACCTCACACTACCCTTTTTGACAGCTGCAATCTTTATCGCAGTTTTTACCATCATCTATAAAATATTCGTACTTCGGTAAAAATAAAAATTGATCGCATGCGATTATTTAGCATCTTTCTTGTGACATATTAAACTCTAATGTCGCTTTGCGCACATGTATCGCATGCGGACACATGGTCTCTAATTGAATGATTAATTTGCGTTATAATGCGCGATAATGGCGGCGAACAATAAAAATCTATTGCGTATCTATCGAATCTATGAATCTATGAGTTTCTGTCATGATATCGGCGTATAAATTGGTTATAATTGACGAACCGATACAAACCGATAACAATTAAACTCGTGTACGACGCATGCAAATATAACATGAGAAAATATTCGTGATAAATTTTAAAAATTTAATTTGTAGCAGTTCTGTTACTATTGCATCATATTGTATTTCAAATTAATGCAATTGCCTGCAATTAACGCCTTCTAATGAGCTTTATATCGATGTAGATATAAAAATTTCTTCATTTCGTAGTTTATCTTAGGCAACTTCAATAACCAAGCCGATTTTGTTTTCAAACACCGGTAAGTGGCGCCCCCTTCAATGTTTTGTTACACAAGTTGACGTTTGACTGCATTTTGACAACACTCGCCAGTGTGCAACTTGATCTCAAGTTGGACGGTTATTTGTTATTGCTTGATCCTAAATTTTTAATATTGTTGATAGCATATAAACAAAATAAGTGTACATGTGCTCCAGTTCTTGACTCAATTGTTTAGTGTTGCTTCCAATACAAATCCATCACGATGGCGGACCCGCTCAGTTTGCTGCGACAATATAATGTAAACAAAAAAGAAATCATCGAACGCGATGATCAGATCATATTTGGCGAGTTCTCTTGGCCGAAAAATGTTAAAACTAACTATCTTATGTGGGGGTAAGTAGTTCACCATTGAATTAAAACAAAATAAATAATTTGCACTCAATTAATATGCAACATATTTGTGTGTTTACAGTGCAGGGAAAGATGGTGCACCAAAAGAATATTATACACTAGAATGTTTACTTTACATGCTCAAGCATGTTAATCTCAACCATCCTGTGTATGTCAGACAAGCTGCTGTAAGTATTCTATATTCATGTTTGATTTCTTGAGTGTAATATTTATATGTTTGTTCTGCTAGGCTGAAATAATTCCGGCTGTGCGTCGTCCAGACAGAAAAGAACTGCTTGCCTACTTGAATGGTGAAACAGCTAGTTGCCCAGCAATTGATAAAAGTGCACCTTTAGAACTTCCAACCCAAGTGAAACGCTCAGCCGATTACGACACATCCGAAAACTTGGCCAAGAAGCCACGCTTCGAAGATGTGCACGTGCAGAATCTCCGTGAGCAGCTTGCTGCGCGTCTGGATGCCCCGAAAGAGGCGTCGGTCACAGTGGACAATATCAAGTCTCTTTCAGAGGCGATGTCTGTGGAGAAAATTGCTGCCATCAAAGCGAAACGTCTCGCTAAAAAGCGTACAACCATCAAAGGCAATGACGATATCGGTCAGGAGTACGATTATCGCGCAATCCTTGATTTAGACGTGGATATAACGAAAGATATCCTCAGCAGAGAGAGGCAGTGGCGCACTAGGACGACTATTCTGCAGTCGAATGGAAAAACGTTCGCGAAGAATATTCTAGCGATGTTGCATAGTATTAAAGCCAGGGAGGAAGGTAGACATAGACCACCGCAAGCCCCGCCGGTGGCTACACCACGCCAAACACCTGTGCGACCCACAGTGCAGCAAGTTGGCTACAATCGGTACGATCAGGAACGCTTTAGACAAAAGGAAGAAACTGAAGGTTTCAAGATTAACACGATGGGTACCTACCACGGCATGACACTGAAAAGTGTAACGGAAGGTTCGGTGAAACCTTCGCGCCCGCAGCCTCAGCCACAAGCGCCGCTTCCTGCTAATGCTGCGCGTCCGGCAGCTGGTGGAGGACCGCAGAAACGTGTATCACGCACGCCGATTATCATTATTCCTTCGGGCGCAACATCGTTGATTTCAATGTTTAATGTTAAAGACATTTTACAGGTAATTGTAATCTTAATATATAAATTTCTCTCTTTTAATTGGTATATTTGTTACAGGACTTTAAATTCGTGCCAACTGAACAGAAGAAAAGTGAGGGAGCGCGACGTGACATTGAAGTGTTGCTGCAACGGCCGAGGAATGGTCTTTCTGTGCCTTATCGCGTCGTCGATAATCCAGCTAAGCTGACGCCAGCGGATTGGGATCGTGTGGTCGCCGTGTTTGTCATGGGGCCGAGTTGGCAATTCAAAGGCTATCCATGGGAAAATCCCGTTGAAATCTTTTCCAAAAGTAAGTGACCCCTTGATTATATTATGATACTTCGTAGACTACCAATTTTTATCGCGAAATTTAAAATAGAACGATTATGATTATGTAGGTAAGAAAACAATTTGAACTCAAATTTCTTTTCATCGGCTCCGTCGGTGTGACAACGCGACTAGCTTGCAACTCGTCTAAATTTAATTTTAAGATAGAAACATAGATGGCAATATGATGCACATTTTTGCATCAAACACTTCTTCGTAGTACATTTTTGTATCTCTTATCAGTGATATGTGTATGTAGTAGTGTGTTTGCGCGGGGATAAACGTCGGTGTCAGCTCGCGCAGCGATGGCAGTAAATTGTTTTGTTTTGATCGGCTAGTTGTTATTTGTTAGGATTAGTCAGTTTGCATTTTTCGAGCGTGCTATCGCGTTGTGTTAATTCTACTTAAAGTTACATTTACCTCTGAGACTCAGCGGGCGGTAAGATGCAATTACGTTACTATCGCGGAAATGACTTCGGATAATAAAAACTATTAAGACATTATTGCGATTTTAAGACTAATCCATATTGTGAGTTATCTATAAAACTGTGTTCATTTGTCTGTTACAGTTTGCGCATTTCATTTGAAATATGATGAAATGAAATTGGATGCAAACGTCGCAAGGTGGGCGGTCACAGTGATCCAACTCTCCAGAACCAAGCGTCATTTGGATCGAGCTGCATTAATGGTCTTCTGGGAAAAACTAGATAAGTACATCCTACAGTATAAGCCGCATTTAAGGTTTTAATAGACATATTAAAATAAGCACCTGAACTTATAATTGATACCTATTAAAAAGAAGTTGCCTATAAGTTGTTATGATATATTTTATAAGAATATTTTACTCTTAAGAATCAATGAAAGAATGTAAATCGATGATTTATTTAATTTTAGAAATATTCTAATGTAAAGTGATGTACATTTACTTAGATCTGTACAGAATTTGGCGTGAATAAGTTTAATACTATAAGTTAATCTTACACTTAAAGAAAAGTTGTTTTTAATTATTTAAAAGTTAATCTGCCGATTTACTTGTATTCTCGGTATTCCCTTTTCAGTCAATCTCAAAGGGGGTTTGGTGATATCGTACTTTAGGTCCATAAAAATTTTGTTCGATTGTTTCAAATCGAGTTTCGCGAATCTTTAAGGCTTCATCTGTGAGTTCTTCTAGTACTTCGTCCGGTACGGGATTGATTGCGTTTGAGCAAAATGCCGCCAACAACCAAAGCATTTGTTGAAATATCAGCATAAATCCAAGTTTAAAGCATAACAGTTTCCAGTGCTCATCACTAAACTCATACTTCTTTTCATCTTGTGGCGGATTTCGGCGGGCTTTGTATACGCATGAGATAATCGGACTGTTTTCTTTTAACAAACTATTGAAGAGTGAGGGATAATCCTTAACGGCAAAAGCTGTTGATGAATAGTTTTGATATTAATCGTAGTTAATGTTTATTTCTTAATTTATATATTTACTTGAAAACGTGCTATTTATAAATCCGCGTATTGAATGATGCGAAAGTCGATAGACCTCCATATCTATTAAATCCGATGTAAATGCAATCACTGCCGCCTAGAAGCATTACAGTTTAACGATATGAATATTACTTTTAAAATGTTTTTACATTAGTCATTGCGCCTACGAACGTTACCAATCTCAATATACTATTCCAAGAACCAATTCCTGGCAGTACTTTTGCCACTGGGCGTCGATAAGTCCTTAAAATTCTTCTAGCGTCTAAACGAATTTGAATAATATTCGAAATCATTGCCACGAGTGGCGATAGCGGTAAACCAACAATAAAAAATATCACAAAACCATACTGAATAACTAAATTCATAAAATCGGTCATTAGAAATAGTTCGCCGCATTGCTTGAGCGTATAGTTCCGCTCCCATGATGGCAATGATTGCTTTTTCTGGTGTAAATTCCGTTTGGAGAATAATTTCTTGAAATATCTAAATAAATAATATATTGTTATCAAGTTAATATGCAGGTATACGATGCGCACATCTTAACAAGTTGAAATGTTTGGACAATTAACAGTTTGGAGCCCATAAAATACAACAAGAAGATTGTGAGCCCAAACGAACAGCCCACAGCTGTGCAAACATCTGTCCTCCATCCAAACAGCTTGTAATTATCCAAGTCTGCCGGATGCGTGAATATAGCACCCTGAAATGATCGAAATAATTAATTAAAAAATCACCAGAAAGCAAAATTGGCTTACTTTTATGAGAGCAACGTAAAATATCGGAATGTAATTGTTAAAAAACGACAATATGTAAAACTTATAAGCGCAACTGTTGTAAAAATCCAGCATGGACGTCGGATTTTCTTCGTTTGTTAAAAAACGGGTGATTTTTAGACATTGCTACTTAAGAATTGAAATATGGATTAATTTCTTGACATATTTAAGGGCCATGAATACTAATTGACTTACTGGAGTTAGAAGGTGAATAAAAATGATAGATTGAATCGCATTGATTGTAATTGCCACTAAATCATTATATTTTTGCAATTCTTCAAATTGCGACTGTTTGATAAGTCGTCGAATGTATATACTTGTGTATACAACAATCCCCAAGCAAACGAACATTATAGCTAACTAAAACAACAAAATTACGTGGCATTATATTATACGATAATGCATGTGAACTTACCATCAGTGTTAAACATATTACAGTTAGCGTATATTTAAAGAACTTTATATGAAACGGCATGTAGTTGACGCGTTCCCCGCTTATAGATGAAATGCGTGTGTATTTCGCCTTGTGCGTAAATTCTATCCTTGATCAGAAACAAATGCTTATTTATTGCATAAAAATATCGCTGGAGATAAAATTACCTTTGTCTCATATCCAACTGAGTGTTTAACAAGTTCCAATGAAACTTAAATACAAACTCTCTGCGCAACCACAACCCCAGGAAAATCGTCGCCCACATCGAACAAAATATAGCAAATCCAATACTGACAACATTATCGAATAGCACGTTGTAATGCGCGGCATAACAATTATCAGATACAGGACTAAAATCGCACTGCTTTGGACTGTAACAGTGTGGACAGAGGACGATGGTTGACGAGCAAACTTCTGTTCTAATGCGAGAATTAAGAGTTGGTTGTTATAGTTAGACACAATAAAATATAACATATATTCACATTCGATCGTGATCCTGGTACAGGCAATATAACCAGTTGTAGATGAAGCAGAGTATACCAATAAATGCCGGTATTGCCAGCATCTTGGTGTAGTAATCTACAAAGGCGAAATAAAACGCCACTTCGGGTCCGTAATACTTATAAATCAAGCGTATTGGTTGATTTTTGAAGATGCAACTGAAGCTGGCCCAGTATTTACTCAACAGCTTGAAATAATAGGCTATATTATATGAATTAATGATATAATGTTGTGTTATACTTGTCTATCTGTCAAAGGACCATGTACACGCCACTCCCATGGCCCGTCATGCATTGGAAAAGCATCGACAAGAACATTCGCGGCGCGCAAATTTTTGATTCCAGTATTTTTTGGTAGTGGGCCAAATTTTGTTTTCGTGAGGATTTTTTCCATGATGAGCGACCTCTCCCAGCTGGTAATTCCTCTTTGTTTTGTTGGTGATAAACTAGAACTGAGTATACATACGATATAAATCATGTAGATTTATCACAAGTTTAATTATCTTAGCTTAACTTCACTCACATTGCTCGTACGTAATCACGATGTAAAGGATTCGGTTGGGTTGTGATGTTGTTGAAGATTTTCCAATGAAACCATGCATGTTCGACGGTGGGCATCGCACGGGGATTCTGACAGTCAAACATTATATTGTAAATGTTTGCATTATGTTGTAACACTGGCACCGGGCAGTGGAGTTTAATGAAGACTAAATCTTCACGCGCCTAGATACCATGAAATATGTTTAAATTTACCGTAACATAATTATATTATTGAAGAGATAGTTACTTTGCCAGGACTAATTTCATATTCGACACCCTGTAGCGTAAGGTTGAAGATGTAAGTAACAAGCATTTCCAGCTCGTTGTTGCTTTTTACCACGCTGCTGACCAGCACAAAGTCGATCTTACGTTTTTTGTCCTCGAAATAGTTGTGACGCGTATAAATATGCCCTCTATACTCTATATTCTCACTGACGCGATCATGCGTTTGCCCTTCGTTATTCTTTTTTTCAGGGTCTCCGGATGTTTTTATTTGTGTTTCTTTTTTGCGCCTGCGACGCGAGGATTTTTCCTTCTGAAAATGAACAGTGCTATCATTTTGTGAATTACCTTCATTTGTATTCATTATTTGTCACTTAAAATGTAACATTTTGGCATTTACGAAATGACATGTATCATAACTATGGCATTTTTAACGATAAATTTTCCTCTTTTTTGTTGTTTTGGTAGTAAATGCCATTATTAATTACCATAATATTTCGTCAACTAAACGCGATATAGATTTGATAAGATAATAAAATCAAGAAAATTAGGAGGTCGAAAAATGGCCAGATATTTTCGTGTTAACTGCATATTTATTGGTATGTTTGGGTGGGTTAGTGGTTTGTGATACTCGTATTTTAATTTTTTCTTCGGATTCTGTTAGCGCAAGAATCGATTTTCAAAATGCAATTTTGCCCCCTTCGCGAAATTCCGCCCTGATAGCCGTCACCCTCGTACGGTGCCCTGAATGGGAGTCACTTCTACCGCTAACTTCATACGGTGCCCCGAACCCGAATCACTTATACCGTCATCCTGGTAACGTGATTAAAGATTTTAAAACTTGCGAAAATTGTTTATATAAGAACATAATGAAATACGTTAACTATTTGAAGTAAGAGTTCAAAAATAGTTGCTAAAAGTGATAGGAGAGGCAATTTTTCGTGTTTTTCCTAGATTTTTTAGTTCCGATTATCTCCGAGGAAATTCTGGATATTAGGGTGCATTGTTTATACGAAAAAGGGAGTACGTTCACAATATAAAATCTTTACATTGTATTGGACTATATCCACAACATGAATTGTTCATAGTTCTCACTCTTGAATCTTATCGGTATTTGTGTACAAACAACTTTTTGTTATCGCGTTGCGGCGCGTCCGGTTCGTTCAGCAGTGTTTGTTCTATTTCTTACTTAGTCGATTCTGCGGTGCCGCGTGGTAAAGACGCGTTTAATTGATCGTCGATTTTCGTGACGACTAATCGCGTTTCTTGTGATTTTAAGTCGGTAGTTTAAAAAATTAAAATCGGTCAGCAATGATAACATTTAGAATTACCCGTCGAGTGCGGTTATACTATTATCTCAATAGCGCGTGGAACCCAGAATTGCGTGGTTTTACAAGATACGCACGTGTTTGCCGGCCGGCGGCGGATATTTTCCGTCGGCTAAGAATTCCTAGTGGATTTGTTTTGTGTATTCATTTAATTATTAAATTGTGCCTCTTGTGGAGTACTATATTCTGTTAGCATTCGACTAATTAAGCAGTCAAATGGAGATTCATCACTAGCCAAAGAAAAACCGGTCAATCAAGTACGTATAAACTCTGAAAATGGTCGCATTTAATCCACAATGTAATGCAATATTGTCGCGTTTCGTCGGCTGCGTTTTAACTCACGTTAGTTGCCTGATTGTTGCTTTTGAATCTTAAATCTCTAATCGGCTTCACGTGTTTTGTTTGCTAGTTTGTGGGTTTAAGATATCTTAATTTAGCATTTTTATAAAAGATGTTTAATAAAATTATAACTATTAGTAATTGTATTATTTATTATGTTTCAATCTCCGCACCCGTCACTTCTAGATACAACAACAATTTTAGGGAAGTTTGAAAATATGGTGAGAATAACCTATTGTATATAGTGAACTAATTGAGTTTCTGAGAGTTTCTCCACGCCAGAATAAAGTTAGAGAGTCTCTTGTATCTTGTGATACATAATCTCCAATTTTCCAGTCCGTTCGGAAGTAGGCAGTTTAATAAAAATTTGAAAACTTGTTGTGGAAAACGTCCTGAATCTCGTAAATGATTTGATTTTCTGGCAGTTTCTTAACGATGGTAATAGTCTGTTGCAAGAATTCCCCCTGTAATCCGCGAAAATTTGCATAAAACTGTAATTTTTCATTGTTTTTTCGGGTTTGCGCGCGGTCTAGGCGTCTCACTAACTTCAGCGCGGCGTCAAAAGATGCGGAATTAAATTCTCCGTCGGGGGTAGGGCTTCACACGAGACGAGACTGGACGAGACTATCAACAGTATCGTCTCGGTCTCGGTATCGTCTCGTAAAAGCGATACGAGACCGAGACGATACGAGAAAAGTCTCGCGATACCCGTGAAGCCTTTGTTCTTATAATTTTTTTTTCACATTTAATGGTTTTAAGTGTAAAGAAAACATTGAAGATCTTTGCAGTTCAAAAGTTTAATCATTTAATTACTCCAAAAATACATACATAGGTTAAAATATTAATTATCACAATTATCACATTTTTTAATTGAATTGGAATTTCTTTCAATTATCGTGTCAATAGGTTGCTCGAGGGTGTTTTTCGCATATTCCTTATAAAATAGTTCGAAACATTGGATAGCTGCATGTTTTAATTCTTTTCCCCAATTAGTTTTATCAAACAATTCAATTTTGTGTGTCAAAAAGATCAAAATCATATTCGGTTATTAAGTTGTCTACAAAATATTGTCAACATGAACACTTTTTCGTCCCGGACTATAGCATACATTTTATTTGACAAGATTTATTATATACCCTTACCCAGTAAATACAATACTTTTGCTGTTCATATATTTGCTTCAAGAAGTACAGAAAAACACAAAAATATGTCCCCGGATGTATAAACAAAGACAAAATTTTCATAAAACTTTTAAAAAGGCAAAAAGGTCATGATATTCGGTTACTGACTTGTTCTTTTGAATATACAAAAGAAATATTTCACAGATGGTCATATAATGGAATGGCATGTTGTGTTAATGTGTGTAATCGTCAGTAGTAGGTATGTGGAGCTTTTTGAGGGATTTGAAAATAGTGTCGTGTATTGTATTTATATGTTTGTTTAAGAGTGTGTTGTGTTGGTGGCTGTGTTTTAAGATGTGTTTCGCGTAGTGTGAGTGGTATGTGTGTGGATCTATAGTGCATAATATGAATTTCTTAGTGCAAAGTATGTATAAAAACTTAAGTGCGGCTGTTCAAGTGGATTGTATTTTAACTAAAGTGCATATATCCCCTATTGGATTTCATATATTAGCCCTTTTCTCATTTTACTAATATCCACTTCATAAAAAAAAATTCACGAGACCAATAACGAGACCAAAAACGAGACTCGGACTGTGGTCTCGCTATCGCCGAGAAATTGATAAAACACGTCTCGTCTCGGTATCGTCTCGCTTTTCCGAGACGAGACCGAGACGATACGAGAAAAGTCTCGGTATCGCGTGAAGCCCTAGTCGGGGGGTAATAGATTGTTGGAAGAACTCCTTCTGTGACCTGCGAAAATTTTTGATTGTTGCTTTTGTGTCTTTATTCTGTTTCTAATCGGCTTTACTTGTTTGATAATTTATGTGTTCAAGAAATCTTACCCTAGTATTGCTTTAAAAGAAGTCAAAAAAATTGTAATTATTAGTAAATGTTTTATTTTTCTCCCCGCACATATCACTTCTAGATATCCATGAGAAAACAGTTAATAACACTTGTATTTCTGATTTTCTTTTTGTATCAACCTGTATATAAATTTTCTTTAATGCCTAGTGAAAAATGAGAAATCTTTATTGTTCTGGGGTGTTTTTATGTCTTAATTGTAGATTTTCTTTTGATAACACCCTGTATATAATTTTCTACTGATGTCACGCGAAAACAGGGTGAAATTTGCTATTTTCTGGTGCTATCTTTTGTAATTTTGTAGCCTATTGGATATGGCAGATATGCAGGTCATAAACATGTTTTAAAATGACGTCATGTGTTCTCTAGATATTGAACTTGCAAGTTCTGAAGTTGTATTGTTCTTAGTTTGTTAATAAAGAAATGTAAAAGGCAATGGTTATGTGTTATGACTTCTGCACCCCTTCCTTCCATCATTTCTGGTACAGGTTACAACTTGTAAAGTATTTCTCAGTGTTGTGGTCGGCTATGAGAGAGGCGACACTTGGAAATATCTAATAAGGAGTTCTCCCACTCGGGGGATGATCCCCACTATAAAAATTGTTAAGGTATCCTGTATGATTTGTGTACTCCATCTTTCATTTCAGCTACAGGTAAGAACTTGTAAGAATATTTTTAAGTGTCCCCTCTCGTGAGTCGACTTAAAAATTAGAAATATTTTTACAAGTTCTTAAAAGGATGTCCTTATAAGGAGTTCCCTCTCTCTGGGGATGATCCCCCACCATAAAAATTGTTGATATGCCTGATAATTTCGGGGATGAAGCGCAGAGACATCGTAGCTGTAGGATGGGCCGGGAGCAATGAACGAATCGAAGCAGTGGGCTGGAGGGGGCCGGAGGCGCTCTGGGAGATCGACCGTAGACTGTCTTATAACGACACGTGCCAAAAAATTTAAAAATTCTGTCACCCCTATTCTCGTTTCTTCCTGTACTCTCTTCTCTATTCTCTTCTCTTCTTACTTCTCCTATTCTCTCCTGCTGTTCTCTCTACTTACTCTTTTCCTTACTCCTCCACCATCTCTTCTACTTATTCTTACTGTTGCTTCGTCGTACTCTGCTTTTCAACTTATTTCTAACATTTGAATCTTTAATGGTATGCAACCCACATTTCGTAAATTTCTTATTATTTAATAAAATTGCCTTCTGAAACTGAGACTCGATCCAAGAACCTCCGGCATGCTAGCATATGCACATGCCACCTGAGCCACAATGCTCACTTATCAAAACGTATTCGTTTCAGGTATAAATGTTATTGTTTTTATCTACTTTTTAAAAACAACAACACTGTATTGCCATCATACATACATCTGCATCAAATGTAACTTATGACACTATTTCTGGAAACGAAAGAGCGAGGATACCAAAATAAATATGCTCTTATCTGCAATATTAAATTAAATAATATTTTATTTAGACTCATATATACAGATTATTAGATAATAGTTAATTTCTTTGTATTCACTGTTCCTGACAATAGGTAAATATTAATAACAAATCAGAAAGACATTCGACGGCCGGCCGTCAACGGACTTCACGCGTGGGCATAATAAAACGAGTTTACATAGTATAGTGAAATTATATGAGAAGTAAACATGTATGAGATAATAGTTACTCCTACCTCATGGGCAAACACGTTTAACACATCAAATGACAATTGTAAATAGAATTGATGCTACTC